GGTAGGACAGTGAGTCCCCCATAACCACGATAGACCGGCTATCGTGGTATGCGTAATGCATTTTCCGCCTCCCTACGTACAGGGTAGCCCTTTAATTGCTTCGGGCGTCAAAAAAAAAAAAAAAAAAGGAGGGAGAGCAGTGCCAGCACGCCGTAGGGAAGCGCAGGCACCGAGATATCGCCTTTTTTAGGCTTTTTGGTCGCCGTCGGCGACCAGCCTCAGTCGCTACGGCGATCTCGGTGCCTGCGCTTCCCTACGCTAGGGCGGAGGCACTGCTCATCCCGCAGCGCCGGAGCTGCCACGGAGCGCCGGAGCACAACTTCCCGGCTTCTTACCGGGGGGTAAGTATAGGTAGTATAAGGTAAGTCTCCAAAATTAACGAAATGTTCTCGATACCAAGTAGTATTGATACTTTTGATACGATACTTGGTATCGAGTACGTATTGATACTTTCAAAATATTCGGAACCCTACGTTTGACGTTTGACATCAATCATTTGTCAAATTTATTTTGTAACTGGTGTAATTGCGTGTTATTTGCCAATTTGTATGAAAAGTTTAAAAAATATATCTCATGAACCGTAAGTTTCCGCAACCTAAAACTTTGAAAAACTCTTTCTTTTAGTGACTACTATCTACAAAAAAAAATATGGGCTTTGAAATCGATGGTCCATATTGGAAATATTAACCCACAGTGCAATAAAAAATACATTATAAAAAAATATAAAAGTAATCGTAAAACCAATGAAGCTTCCATAGATATCTAATACATATTAAAAGCTTGCAACCACAATATGTTTCAAGATTTTAAAAAACTAAGTGGTATTTATAATTAAACATTAAAAAATTCTTTCTTCTTTATTTTGTGGCTGCAACGGGTTGTAGGCGTGCTATATTGTGGTTACAGCAGAAAAAGGTCAAATCGACGGAGGAAGGACCACCTTCTCCCAAATAAAGTTAAAGTTACAGCCTATATACGTCCCACTGCTGGGCACAGGCTCACACCTCATTTCTGAGAGGGTTTTAGGGCAAGGAAGTGTCCGCCACGCTGCAGCAATGCGTGTTGGCGAACTTCAAATGTATTCGAAATAATTTTTTTTCTTATTTATCAGACATGCAGGTTTCGTCACGATGTTTTCCTTTACCGCCGAGCACTCAACATTGCAATTAACAATTTCATTGATGCTGGCGGGAATCGAACCCGGGTTGCAGCGTGGCTCTCGACCATAATATAGCTACAACGTGACTCTACCACGTATACGTCGGCTCAGTTGAGGAAGACCCACGCTCTAATAGAATATCAACCTTAAGGCTTACCACCCAGTGGACTGGTGCTCGTTTCATGTCACCTAAATTATATAGTATATTATAAGTATTCTATAAAAATCCCATATATTACTATTGGAAATTGTATTTTTGCGTGTTTGAACTTGTAATTGGATGTACCTACATTATATAAAGAAGCGATTTTTTTATATAAAACAAGGTAAATGAGCATACGGCTCACCCGATTGTAGGTAAGTGTTAACTACCGTACATGAACGAATGCAACACCGGGAGAATTGCAGGTGCAAGGCCGGACTTTTAAAAAGGACTTATCAGTGGTAGCCGATTCCACAAAGAAGTCGTGCGAGGCAGAAAACTCTTAGTAAATCACACAGTGGTGGACCGCCAAGTATTCAGATGGCGTGGATTGTGAGTTTTGTCTCGATGTACGATGGTGGCTTTTGGAGGTTAGAATTTATCCGAACAATTCCTCAGAGCGCTCCCCTCGCTGATTGCGATAGAAAATGCAAAGGCATGCAACATGTCTTCGCAATGCCCTCGAATCGAGTCAAAATACCCGTTCATTAACGATTCCGGCTGTTCTTCGCCGGATACGGTCAAGTGGATGGAGCTGATACTTTGACTATTGTTTATTCCGTGCTTTATTGCCCAGAGACGAGAAAAGTATTTCATATGCGGCCAAACTTTTCATAAGCATTCTTTATATTTGCAGTGTCGACTATTAACAGCTACGATTTGATAAGGAAATTTCATGAACGGGTAAATACTAAACTAAATATAAATTTAATGATTTCTTATATTTACGCGAACACTACATATATTTTAAAACTATTTTTACGGATTTTATCGCGTTTAATTTTTTTTGGTTTTTAATTCCCGATATTTCGGGTGCTTTACAGCACCCATGGTCACGGGGGTATGAGGTGACTGACGTTCCGATGTCTGTGTTAGCCCGGAGTACCTTCAGCTTTTTAATTATTGTTTTTGGTCCGATCTACGCAGAACGAACTTACTTTGCTTGAAGTCTTGCAGTGGTATGCCTGGGCTTAGTTTTAATTTTATTAATTACAGGATCCCAAGCAGATAGTAGTACCCAGCCTCCTAATATAATAATTAAAAAGCTGAAGTTATTCCGCGTTATCAATGACATCAAGTGCAAAAATAAGTGATATTCATTCTGTAAATACTAGGAACAGACACAGGCTAGTAATACCAGTTACTCGACTCCACCGAGTCAGTAATTCATTCTTGGGGTGATGTACGCATTATACACGTAGGTAAAATGTTTTGAAACAAATCGTATAAAATAAATCACACAACATGTTTTGTCGATGGTGGCGTTCGCACTCACAAAACTGTGTAAAATTTTCAACAGATATTCAAACTTATCATTCAACATGACAATATTTCAACAAATTTGTTTTCAAACATTTTGTTTCTATAGTTATATAGATATAGTAAGTTAAAATATGTAATGTACAATAAACTATCAAACATATTTCAATACAACATGTTTGACTGTGCAAACGCTTTTTGATACATTGAAAGAAAACACAGTTTAAAACTTGTTTTTTTGTGAAAATCTCGTCAGTGCAAACTCACGGTAACGCTTTTCCAAAAAAATCCCAGAAAATATATTAAATTTGACATACAAAGAGTTCAAAACTTTATTAAACTAAGTTTGTATAAAATGGGTAATTATAATATTAAGGAATTTATGCATGATAATAACGCCTGAGAAGGGTGATCGCTACCAAGCTATTTCTAATTTTTGTGTTGTTAATTGTATCGTACATGATTGTAAGTTCTTATTTAAAAAATAGTTACGCTGGGTTTCTTGCTGGTTCATCCCAGGACAGAGGTTTTTTTTGTGAACCAGTGGTACATGAAAAAAGTGACTTTCAATAAGTATTATTAATAATCCATATTGAATAAAAAATTCTGTTTCATCGGGACGTCGGTCACCTCAGACCCCGCGGCGATGGGTGCTGGAAAGCACCCGAAACGTTGGGAATTAAAAATAAAAATAATTAAAATTAAACGCGATAAAATCCGTAAAAGTAGTTTTAATTAATAAATATAAATTTGTATTATGATACAAATTTTTTATTACTGCATATACTGCAGTCATGAAATGCGCAGACCGGTGACAGGTATAGGGGAGGTAATCTGTGGCAACGAACGACGCGCTACTCCCAAGTAGTTTCTTCTTGCGTCCCGTCGCCCGCGCACCTTCTTGTGTCGTCTTGTGTACTATCGATGTCGAAAGTGTTAGCCACTACCTGTTATAAAATTTTAAATTTTTGCAATTACTTATGTACTTCTAAAAATATTGTTCTATAATATTTTCAAATAGTGTGCAAATATTTATTACTTTATAAATTATTTTGGGACTATTTAAAATAGCGTAGTTCGTAGTATATTGTAAAAAGTTGTAAATATTTTGTTATTTTCTACAAGATGAAATAATATATCCTTATAATCGAAGGCTATCGCATAGTATAGTTTAAACAGCAATTACAAATACAAAAATACAAATACAAAAATACAAATACAAAATATTTTATTTCTTTAACTAAGTGTAAGTACATAAAATGCAGAATATTATTTAGAAGCAGTTAAAACCTAACGATGATATATAAATATATCGTTCAGTTTTCGTGAAGACTTTGATGTGTGGTAATAATGTTGACCTTTGACTTTTTTCATATTAAAATTCCATAATAAAATTTTCATTTGTCTGCTTGATTGTACATGCGCAGTAGACTATATTTAATTTTATCTTACGTGGCACGACCTATTATAACAGATTCCTCTTCCACCTAGTAAACTGTTTTTAATTACTTGTAGAGACACACTACAACAGATTTAATACAAATAACTAAGGTGTCAAACAAGCATACAGATCACCTGCTGGTAAATGGATCGTCATCATCATCATTACAGCCCTTCACAAGCCCACTGCTGAACATAGGCCTTCCCCAAGGAATGCCACAAAGCACGGTCCTGAGTCACCTGCATCCATCGACTTCCTACATGTCTTACCAGGTCATCATATCTAGTGAGGGGTCGCTCTACACTACGCCTACCGGTATGAGGCTGCCACTCGAGAACCTTTTTTCCCCATCGGTTGTCGGTTCTTCGAGCTATATGGCCGGCCTATTGCCACTTCAGCTCACTAATCCGTTGTCCGTTGGGCTGTGTCAGTCACGCTGGCTCTACTGCAGATATCCTCAGTTCTAATTTTATCACATATATCATATTTAGTTTATGTAAGTGGATGCTGTAACCTATATACACCTAAATCTATCCATGATTAAGAAACAAAATGGAGATGCATTGTCACTATTGTTAAAAAGCGTCGTTATTAGTAAAAATGTCTCTAGTGTGTTTCGTATCGTGAGTGTTTAGAACTGGAGACCCTTTTTACTGGAAACGAGGCATTTCATTTTAGTCCTTAGGTGGTAACAACGCATCCGCATTTTAATTCTTAGTCGAGGATAGGTGTAGATATCTTTGGGCCCACAGAGTTTACGTACCAATACGTAGACTGTGAGTGCGTTTGTCACTATTCTATGAAAAAAGTACTGGGTAGTATAGGCTTATAGATAAATAGACTCAAAGCGGGTCTTCCCCGTCTTCATTACTGGACAAAAACGGCCCCCCCACCGCCAAGTAGTATTCCCTTTAACTGTTTGGCATATCTTATTCTAGGATGAAGATCCCTCTCGCCCCTCACTACTATCCCCATCCGATAGGAACTTCATCAACGCCCACTACCACGAAGAATGTAATGCTCAATCACAAAGATCAATTGCGTCAAGAAGACAAGGTGGAGCCAGCCTGGAGCCAATGCAGTTGACCCCTGAAAATCTGAAGTACTACAATGACAAGCTCTGGCCCTTAGGTATCGTCATGTATGGAGTGGAAGAAAAGCTTCGTATGTATTTCCTTTCCTTTTTCATTAGTCTTTGAAAGTTTTATCTATTTATAATTTACTGTAAATCTTAGCAAAAAGATAACAAAAGGGTGGCCTTTTGGAATTCTCTTCCAGTTTACCCAAGATGTGTGGAAATAATGTGATAGGTGCCAGGAATAAAACGAACATTTTAGTACATGAGAAGAAAAAAATATTAATATCAAACATTTTCTCTATTATACAGGGTGTTAGTGTAAACACCGTTATCCATGAAACCAGTGCTTTGGTTTCATTTATAGAACGTAAATTCAATGAGTTGTAAAAAAAACGCTACTTTCTTTCATAAAATTTAAAAAGTTTCTGTCCGACACCGTCCATAAATTCATGGATACCCTATGCGCCCGAGTGACGTAATAACTGTAAAGATCACCGCCCGCGCTAGCTACCTACACAACATTCAACATAAAACACAATAGGTACACATAACCTGGACTTTCAAGGACAACGGTGTTTACACTAACATGTAACCTGTATAAAAATTAATGGCTGCCCGTTAGTCTCACTTAAACTCAAAAACGGCTCGACCGATTTTGATGAAATGTGTATGTTGAACAAGTACTTGTAATACGGCAATTTCCGGTCCACGAGATCGTATTTCAGAGCGAGCTCCTGGTGAAGAATTCTGGCTACTAGGTTGTCCCTGTGCAAGTAATCAGAGTTAGAAAGCGCCGAACAACCGGAGATGACATGCCTAAGTGACTCACCGGGATGGCGCCAAGCTCGACAAATGTCGACGGTGCCATCCTTTAGGATGTGTCTCCGATAGTTGTTGGTCTTAATAACCTGATCCTGTATTGCAAAGACAAAACCCTCGGTTTCCCCCGAAGAGGTCACCAAAGCGTAGCCAGTGGAGGGAGGCTACTGTGTCTACGAAAGGCTCATGTAGAGCCTTGTAGAACCTCCCGTGGAGCTCCTTCTCCTTCCATACGGTCTCCCGGTCGGAAATGCTCTGCACTGCCGGTCTTGTCATTGCTCGTTGGCTAAGCATAGAGGGGTAAGTCCTTTATCACAAAAAATGACGTCCTTAGAATGGATCATCCGATCTCGCCAGGAAGTAATTACGGAGGCTGCACACTTCGCGATTATGCATGGTGAGCGCGCTCAAAAAGCCACGCCCACCATGCTTTCGCGGCAAGTACAGGCTCGTTACCGACGATCTCGGATGATGCATCCTATGGGACGTCATAGTAATGCGGACTTTTCTATCCAGGGCATTAAGTTCAGTCTGAGTCCACCTGAGTATACCAAAGGTATACATGAGGACAGGCATGACCCAGCCGTTATATGCGTGTGTCTTATTCACACCAGATAAAAGGCTGTTGAGCACTTTGGTCAAGCGTGCATAAAACACGTCGCAAACTGACTGTTTCATACCAGCCTCATCGATACAGATGTTCTGTGACACACCCAGGTATCGGAATGTTTCAGCCTCGGAAAGGGTCCTTAAACTGATGGGCATAGATAAGTCTATGCTCTCGGAGTTACTTATTATTATTATTACTTAGATGGTTTAGAGGTTTAGTAGGTTTAGGTTTAGTTCCGACGTTGTATCCTATGGGACGTCATGGTAGTGCGGACTTTTCTATCCAGGGCTTTAAGTTCAGTTCGAGCCCAACAGAGTATGCCCAAGGTATGCACGAGGACAGGCATGACCCAGTCGTTATATGTGTGTGTGTGTGTGTTATTCACGTTCGACAATAGACTGTTAAACACTTGGGTCAAGCGTACATAAAACACAATGCAAACTGACTGTTTCATGTCCGCCTCATCGATATCTATGTTCTGTGACATACCCAGGTATCGGTGTGTTTCAGGGTCTATATGTTGATGGCCATAGGTAAGTATATGCTTTCAAAGTTAGCAACCCTACCCCTTTTGACATGTAGGACCGCATATTTATCCGTCCTCGGCTCCATTCTCACGGAATTACTGAACTCACATGTGATGTTCAGCAGTTCTATAAGATGGGAGCGTGGGAGCGACTGGAGGCGAACAACTTAGAAGCGACAGTAGCCTAGTGGCAAGGCGCGGACCGCGAACTCAAAAGGTCGCGGGTTCGAATCCACCATTTGACTACTGTCGTGAACCACTCCTAACACAAGCATTTTCAGCTTACCAGGAGTGGTTAAAGGGAATATTAGTAATGTTAGTTAATAGGATTACTAATATTCTCACCGCCGAAAAAAAAGAAAAACTTGAGATCATTCATATAAAAATTTGGTAGCTCACTTTTGTTCCTACTTCTTCTTACTTCTAATCGAACACTCCCATTTCGTATAAGACTCTAATTAGCAGTTGTTGCTGACAAATCGTGAGTGAAGTCAAAAGTTAAGATTTCTTTCAGAAAATACCCCCGAATACGTTGCCCTCAAATACGCAATGATATCCATCGAGTGGTTAAGCTGTGTGGTCTTCCAAGAGATTCGGACAGGGGACGGTATTCTAAAACCTAAGAACTACCTCTGGTTCACAAACGACGGGGAAGAGACGCCCAGACTTGGATTTTTTAGTGGAAAGCAGGTTATTCAGATAATTTTTTTCATAAGCCTAATATTTAGATAGGGTTTTATTTCTTCTGTTAGTCAGTCAAACGAACTCACAGTCTTCCTGATGGTAAGTGACTACTGCGGCTAATGGACGCCTGACACCTTTTCCTCAAGGGCACCCGCAATTCCTCAATCGTTGCAATGTTTTTTTTTTAGTTTGTAGGCACTAATTTTTTGTAAAACCCAAAGTTACCTGCTGTTGACACCTACAACATAATTCAAATAAAAAGTTAGAGACGCATCGTTACCTCCGAAAACTATGATGGGAATGCATCACAGCCTGTAAAAAGTAAAGTAAATCTAAAAGTATTTCTACCCAAATTATTCTTAAGCAGAAAGAAAGTCCTAGAATCTAGCTAAACTACAAGGATAGGTATTGACAAAGTTATTAATTTCCATAAACTCCGACAGACCATAAACCTGGAGTCTATGGTACACGGAACTCCGGGCCACAACGCACACGCATTGGTTAACTTGATGCGGGCTCTTGGAGTTCATATGATGTCAAATCGCTTTGACAGGGACAACTATGTTGAAGTGAACTGGATGAATGTTCATAAAGGTCAGCATATACCTTTTATTTTTAAGACGCCTGTCCAATTTTGTTCACGGCTTATTTTCAGGTATTTTAAGAGATAAAGCCCACATATATAGAACATATTACAGAATTGTGTAGGTGATAAAGTTCAACATTACAGCTCTTCACCAATTCACTGCTAAACACAGGACTCCGCCAAAGAATATCACAAAGAACGGTCCTCCGCCACCTTTTTTATATAGAAGAGGGGGCAAACGAGCATGCGGCTCACCTGATGTTAAGTAACTACCGCCGCCCATGATCAACCGCTACACTAGGGTAATTGCAGGTGCGTTGCCGGCCGAAAAAGGAGTAAGCTCTTTTCTTGAAGGTCCCAGGTCGTATCGATCCGGAAAAATCGCAAATGATATTAAAAATCAAAAAAAATATCAAAAATACCACCTGCAACCATCAACTTCCTGCATCTCTACCCTGGTCACTAAAACTCGTGGGGGCTGCCCAATTCTTTGCTTCCCGTATTAGGCTTCCACTCAAAAACCGTTCTTCCCATCGATTATCGGTTCATTGAGCTGTATAGCTAGTCTACCTATAACCATTACTCAGCTTACTGACCAGTTTGGCTGTGTCGGTTACTCGGTTCTATTTAATGCAGCGTAATGATCATTTTTATGTTTACAGCCTATCAAATTCCCCTGCTGAACGTAGGCCTCTCACACAGATATCCTCCTTGGTACTTAATATCCTCCATATTTGCCATAGTTGCCAGGCTTGGCAGGAGGGTTGGCCAGAAAGATGCTGCTGCGCATCTCCTGTTTACACTTGCGCTGCTCTAAATGGCGAACTCAGTACTTACAAGGCTCCGAATGTATCTATTCTTGTTGCGAGAATAATGAACAGGCATTTCATAAATATTTGATATTCTTACACACTACACGGTAATGAGGGCATCCAGAACTTTATCTGCCAAAGGGCATATACTCATAATACTCTAAACGCTAATAAACATTTATTAGAAAAATGACTTTGTTTTAAACTAAGTAAATATCACTAACTGATCACAGAAAATAAATCAAGAAAGTTTATTTTAAGGAATAAGTGTGACATAAGAGCACATAGATCGATAGACATTTACATTTATCTTTAGTTAAGAATTAAAAATCAGATCTTTTATCATCCCTGAGGATTAAGATGGAATGCTTCGTTTCCCGTAAAAAGGCGAAACATAACAGCATTAAGTCGCTATTTTATGCTGGAATTCTGGGATAGCGTGGTCTTTAACCGGTTGCTTAATTATTTACCGGCGAAATAAAGGCGTTTAATGGTTCTCATGTGGATTTCCGTTTCGGTTCTGGTTTAAGTATCAGAACATTTCAATTACGGACTACAACAATAAGTCTAAATAAGTTAACGTTTAAAAACTCTATTTAGGTAAAGAACACTATTTAGAGAAAGCTCCAGTAGAGGCTTGGGTGCAAATGCCATACGATTTCAAGAGTGTGACCCACGCTCCACCCAACTACATGTGCGGATCTTGTGAACTGGGAGAACAGAGTGTTAGACCATTACGGGTAAGTTTTTTTAATAATACTAGACATATTACATACTTAGTGCCATATTGCGATATAATAGGTCTTGCCGTTCTGTAGTACCTATGAAATTGCCGTTCTGCAGTACAGGCCATTTCAAATCATAAAAAAAAATTGTTTGGCTTAAAATTCTAATTTGAAATTAATTTTATTTTAAAAACATGGAATTCTTTTTTCAAAATTAGGCATTTGTTTATTGATAAGCGTTATATTTTTTTTTCGTCATCATGGATACGTTAAAAATTCGAGTAACAATGGAATATGAGTACCGATGTGTCAGCAACGCAGCAATAGCGGCACGCCACATCAACGACGTTTACTAAGCGAATACTACAAACAAACGCAAACTTATTGGTTTGCCCGCTTCCGTTCTGGAAATTTCGATCTGGAAAATGAGCACCGTGATTGTCCGAAAAATTTGGTCGACAATGACGAATTAAAGGCGATTGTGTAAGCTGATGATACTCAGTCTACGGCTGAATTAGCAGCAGCTTTCGACGTTAATATCACACCAATATGACCAATATTGACGATGCGTCAAATTGCCTAGATAAAAAATAAAAATGCTTCACAAATGGGTCGTTGTCACCGTTAAATTACTCAATTTAGTTATTAAAAATAAAATAGTTCTATTTTTTAATATCAAACAGTGTATTTCAATTTAAAAAAAAAACATATACCTACGCTTTTTCTTGATAAAGTTAAATTTTAAAAATATATCAACTTTTGCTAGTGATCACAAACTTTTTGATGTGTGTAATATTGCGATATATCCTACACGTCTTCAGTTTTTAAAGGCCCACAGCTGGGTATGGGCCTCCCCCATTATCGGAGAATACAAAAACTGTAAGTAAATATTTTACTAAAACTGTATAAGAAAGGGTTATTAAAATATGAATGAATACATGTTTGATAACCCTTTGAGAAAGAGGTGGTCGCTTCCAAGCTTTTTCCTAAATAAGATTTGTATAAGTAATTTGTACTTGTTTTTTACAAAAAATATTTTCAATAAAAATTACTTGTAATCTATATTGAATAAAAAGTTATTCTATTCTATTTTGGAAAGATTTGCCTTCTTAATCTTTACGGCGGTTGTCCACCGCCGCCGTCATCGGGACGTCAACGAGAAAGAGATTATTTCTGGCCGAGATCAAGATGACGTGAGGGCGATCATTTGTCCACCGCAACGATCAAATTGGTTCAGTCGGATAGTTGTAGCTCTCGTGCAGGTGGGACGTCACGGCGCCGGTGTGGATGGAGAAGTTTAAACGTGTTTTGTATTGCTTGTACATCGGCCCGTCATAATCTCGGACGAGTTGTAACGGTGGCGCCAATCTACCCTGTCTGCATTTTGATTCTCAATCGATGACAAATGTAGATGTCTATATACCTCAGCATCCACTTAACCTTTGTCACCCTTATTCTATAAAAAATACATAATTTTTAATTAAATATACATACATTCGTAAAGTATTTTTAATTAAAAATGGGCTCACTCTTGACCTCTATCTGGTCCGAGGGCAAAGATGAGGTCTACGATGGAGCAAGCTTGCCCAGGAGTAACCTGTTAACATGCACCTTGAATAGGGTAAAGTTATATGAACTCGGAAAAACAGAACGCCCTCAGGGCATTACACTCCTTGACTGTGCGCATTATTAAAGGTGACTTATAGCGCTTAGTGCGAATATTCGGAATACTCGTATCAACCAAGTGTGTATGGTAGCCTGCAGTACGTCTGGTACTTCGATAGGGGAATGGAGATGGCGGTGTGAGCTTATGAAGCTCATGGACACACTCTCCGAAGTACAATCTGTAGAAAACCGACAAACAAGTACGAGTTCCTTCTGGCAATATCCCTAGGGAGTTCTCTTACACAGCCACTCGGGACAAAATAGTGTGATGCTTTAAGTGTTCTTTACACGGCAAGTCCTAGACAATGCATAAATATAATTATCTCAAGTACATATGCGGTGTAAGAATATCAACGTAAGTAACGTAACGTATACCTAATACGTTTTTACAACTAAATACCAAAAAATGTACAAAATGTGTCTATAAACAAGTTTAAATGTTTTTATTAAAGAAAGCTTGTAAAAAAAGGTTTATTATAATATTAAAGAATACGTAAATGAAAATGTGAACGGCAGAGTCGGGAAGGAACGCCCTAAAAGAAGGTTCATTGACTGAATTGGCGATATTTTGAAAACGGGTCACATTAGGAGTACCCTTAACCGACGGGCGTGTATGCGTAGATATATGGATGTATAGGTATATATAATATATATATATATATATAAATTACGTGTCACGTTGTTTGTCCGCGATGGACTCCTAAACTACTTTACCAATTTTAATTTAAATTTGCACACTGTGTGCAGTTTGGTCCAACTTGAGAGATAGTATAGTTTTTTTGCCCATGAGTGACAGAGAATTTTTTTTACGAATTTAAGGATTTTTAATAGGACATACCAAAAGGGTCGTCGAAAAGGGCAGAACAAATTCTGCCTGGCAAGCTAGTGTTATGTATAAATGAAAATAGCCCCTGGGAGGTGATCGCCACCGTGCTGGTTCTATTAAAATTCATTTAAAAATTGTACAAACAAAATTATTTTAAAATGAAATGTTTAAAAAAAAGTTCCGAAGGGTTTCTTGCTGGTTCTTCCCAGGACAGAGGTATTTTCCGAACCAATGGTAAATAAAAAATGACTTTCAATAAGTATTATATAATAATTTATACCTACTGAATAAAAATCATTCACTGCATTTCATTTCTACTACCCCGTATCATCCCGTGAGTGTAGTAAGAGGAGGCAGAGAAACTATTGCAGGAGATAGGCAGTAGCAATTTCTTAATACCAACTCAAAATAATAAAACATTTTTATTTAATAATTATACGTGCGTCGGCTCGACCGGGGAAGGACCACGCTCTCACAGAATACCAGCGTAAAATAGCAGCTTAATGCTGCTGCGTTTCGTTTGGTGAGTGTAGAGATACGGAGACCCTTTTTTTATTGGAAACGAGGCATTCCATCTTAGTCCTCAGGAGTGTGAACGCACTTGCGTTTTGATTCTTAATCGAGGATAAATGTAGATGTCTATGGGCCACAGCAACCACTTACCATCAGGTGGACTGTGTACTCGTTTGTCACCCTTATTCTATAATATATATACATATATACAATATGTAACGTAATTAACGCACACCCTCGGACACCCCAATTAGTATATTATGTTATAATCATAATACATACACTGAATTTTTAGTTAAACATTTTTATGCACTGATTATTTATCAAATTAGTTATACTAATTCCGGAATAATGTTGTGGTCACAGTGCAAACCCACGAACGCAAAGATTTAACCTTATTGAAATAGTTCATTTGTTCTTTATTGTTATTGAAAGAAGAATTAGTAATAATACAAATAAAACTGCACTCTTAAAAGTCTTATTGCCTTAAGTTACGGTCCATTTCAGTTTGTTTTGACTGTACAGATATAGTGTAATTTCCGTAGTTTTAATTATTTTTGGGATAAAAAATTACCTATATTAAAAATGTGTGTGGATAGGAATGTGTTATGGCAAACACTGAACTCATATGGGTTGAGCGCTGGTTTGATACAGGCATTAGGGTCTCTTTATAGGGACTCTAGTGCTTGTGTCAGGATCAATGGGGTCTACTCGGACTGGTTTGGCATCCAAAAAGGTGTCAGACAGGGCTGTGTAGCTTCCCCTTGGCTGTTCAACCTATTTATGGACCGGTGTTTGCAAACTTTGAAAGATGAAGAATGTGGTTTAAGAATGGGCGAGTTAACCGTCAAATGCCTTTTGTATGCCGATGATCAAGTCATATTTGCGTCATCAGCGGCTGAGTTGCAAATGATGGTTACATTAATGAACTGGGAATTAAAAGAAAGGGGAATGAAAGTGAACGCAAGTAAGACGAAAGTGATGGTTTTTGAAAGACAAGAAAGCAAAACGGTATGTGAAATAAGAATAGAAGGAGAGTTAATTGAGCAAGTGGATGAGTTTGTGTATTTGGGATGTGTATTTAGCAGGGATGGTAGATATGATAGGGATATAGAACGACGAGTAAATGCAGGGAATAGAGTGAATGGGGCACTACACTCTGTTATGAAGAACCAGAATGTGTCAAAACAGGCACGTATGGTAATTCATAATGCTGTGTTAGTCCCTACGTTAATGTATGGTAGTGAAAGCTGGGTGTGGCAGAAGAAGCACGAAAGTAGAATAAATGCTGTAGAAATGCGTTCTTTAAGAAATATGCTAGGGTTTAATCTGAATGACAGGGTGAGAAATTGCGTGATAAGAGATAAATGTGGTATGCAAGATGATGTTGTGACCAGGATTAAGAAAGGAATGCTTCGGTGGTTTGGTCACGTAGAAAGAATGAATGATGAAAGAGTGACAAAGCAAATTTATATGGCAGATGTGAACGGCCGAGTCGGGAAGGGACGCCCTAGAAAAAAGTTTGTCGACCAAATTGGCGATATTTTGAAAATGGGCCACGTTAGAAGTACCCTTAACCGACGAGCATGTATGCGTAGATATATGGATGTAAAGGAGGCGAAAGAGGTATGTCAGGATCGTGCCAAATGGAAGTCCGTAATCTCTGCCTACCCCTCTGGGTGACAGGCGTGAGTGTTTATGTTATGTTTATGTTCTATATTAAAAATGATAGGAATCGATTCAGTAAACAAACTACTTTCTCAAAGTGCGTTAATTATGTTACATGTTGTATATATATATATATATATATATATATATATATATATATATATATATATATATATATATATATATTTATATAAAGCTACGGTTTCCGACCCGCCCGCCAAGCATGAACTATGGCAAACCGTGAGTCAATTTATGGGGGAGATGTATATTCAATAATGGACTATTATAGGCTGAGATGAATGGATGCATGGATCCAAAGGTAAAATTGTCCTTTACAACTCCCACTCAGGAAGAAATAGAGTGATGGACTCTGAAACGGCAGTCGGAAACTCTTTACACTTCACTTCTTTGCAATGCAGCTTAACAACATCCACGGGACGATATGAGGTAGTGGGTTTTCTTACACCGCCACTACACGTTCATAGGTTTAGTTTAGGTATTGTGATAGCACGTTCTTTCCCGTCGAGGGGACCCGTTCGTGTCAGGTTTGCCAGATCGCAAGACCATAATATCTGAACAAATTTTGAAAATGTTGGAAATTTGGAGTCGTTGTCGGGAGAAATAAATATTAAAAGTAAAAAGTTTATTTTTAATTAAGAGTCCACAAAAAGTACCTACTTTATCAAAAAGGAAAAACAAGTTAACTTAATTTTTAAGTTGCCACATTTGGCATTGGACTTTACTACTCTAGTAGTATTCATAAAAGATTTAAAATTCATACAATTTACTTCAAAGCTTAGTCAAATTAGATACTATCTCCGCTTTTATTAAATCAAAGGTAAACGTTATCTTTCCGAGAAGCTGTTTGTCTGGAGATTTTGTCGTTAGTCTGGACATCATTTGAAATTTCGGGAGAATCCAGAAGAATCTCGACCGTCTGGCAACCCTAGTCTACAATCATAATATAACTGCAGTATGATTCTACCACGTAAAAAATGGAAAGGTTTCCTCCAATTTAATGTTTTTTTTTCAGGATCACCTATGGCAAAGAACTCTCTCGATGGGTCGTAATATAGATCTCAGTGAATCAGACATTAAATTGCTCGAGTTGCTTTATAATAATCAGTGCCGAGAACGCGTCTTTTCCAATGACTATCCTTATCTGACAAATAAAAAACAAGGAGCTTAATATAAAAAAAATTAACGTTGCTTTGTATTCTTTAATTGATAAGGGATATTTTATGTATGACTCACCCGTCGTAGTTAATTAAATAATTATGAATAGTGTAAGGTGTTTCATTTAACAAATCCGGATCAGCTCGGGTGCTAAGCACTCGTTGTGAATTTCACAGTTCGCGAGCATCCTGGGTTCGATTTCCGCTGGAGACAATGCAATTTTTAATTGAAATTTATGTGCTGATATACCACGTGCTCGGCGTTGAAGGAAGACATATTTATAGAATGAGTGACAAACGAGCACACAGTACACCTAATGGTAAGTGGATGATGTTGCCCATAGATATCTACATGTCTTCGATTGAGAATCACAATGCAGGTGCGTCGTTACACCTGAGGAAAAGATGAAACGCCTCGTTTCCAGTGAATAGGGCCCCCAGTTCCTAACACTCACCACATACAATACACAACAGTATTAAAGCTGCTATTTTACGCTGGTATTCTGTGAGAGCGTGATCCTTCCCCGGTCGAGCCGACCCATTCCTGCTGAAACACACGTTCACGTCACAATACAGCTGAAGATTGACTCTGAATACCGATAGAGTCGCAATAGCTATTTAAGACGAAATGTGCTGGGTTTTATCAGGCCTAGCTCACTTCGCGCTTTAAGCATGAAAATTACTTACGCTACGCGGCCGCCTACAGGAGGCTAATTCCATGAGGTTGTCACGCGCACGTTTGAACTGCTCGATGAATTCTACTTTAACTAATATCAAGGGATTAATTTGTTTTCTCACGACACCTAACCCTACAGTAGGTGGGGCTTTAACAAACGCGCGTAACAGCGTGATAGACACTCGCACGTGTTTCGTTTCTTGAAGGTCGCTTCAGAGGCGTGCAAAGTATTATAAACATTAGCGACGTTGTAACTAAGTTTAAACTGGCAAGTTTGCTATCAGAGAGTGATCCTTCTGTTCTTGTACTATTATTTATTGTGGTTTTATATTAATCTATTACAGCTTTTAAATCCACTGCTGAACATAGGCTTTCCTGATACAATGCCTCATGGAGGGAATTTACCATAGTTGCCACGCTTGGCAACCGCAGTTTCTTTTTTATAGGATAAGGGTGACAAACGAGCACACAGTCCACCTGATGGTAAGTGTTGGATGTGGCCCATAGACATCTACATCTATCCTCGATTACGAATGAAAATGCAGATGCGTTGTCACCCGTGAGGACTAAGATGGAATGCCTCGTTTCGAGTAAAAAGGGTCTCCGGTTCTCTACACTCACCATACGAAACACAGCAGCATTAAGCTGCTATTTCACGCTGGTATTCTGTGAGAGCGTGGTCGCTCCCCGGTCGAGCCGACCCATTCGTGCTACAACTATACTACTAATATAATTGCAGCATGGCTCTAACACGTATAGAAAGGAATTAATTATCAGGATTTATTTATCAGAATTAATTATCAATAACAAGCTGCTGCCCATCTCCCTTTTTCATTTTCTCTCAGTCGCCTCTTACGACACTCTCGGGACGATGTGGGGTAGTGCATAACTCTTACACCGCCACTACACGGTTAATATAGATAATAAAAACACAATCTTTCTTTATATACTTTTTATTTGCATCTGTAAACCAGTCTTAAAAATATAACCAAGTATAAAAAAATTATACACGAAAGTTAGCACAGTCAACAGTAATATTGTGTATATAGCGACGCCTATTTGGGTAAGGGATTAGCGTAATCTGCTAATGCAGGCTACTTACAACTTTCAACAAAGAAGTTTACAGCTGCATAGTTACTTCTGAAGACATAGGGCCTGCGCTCACATTTCGGCATGCCGAAGGATCCTGTGGCCTCCCGCGACATGTCAAACAAGTCACGACGCGCTCGTGTACCGGCCGCTCGCGCGAGACGCTGAGATTTCCGCCGCAACGGTTTAGATTTAACTTTATTTCAATTAGCACACATTCCCTTAATAACATAAAGTAACCTGTGCGTTTCACGTGATGCAGCGGCGTGCCGCGTCATCCCATGGAATGCCGTAACGTGCAACAGCAAGCCGCGGTGTCAAGCAAGACGTTTCGGTCTAATCGTGTTGAAACCAAAGATTTAAATAGTTAGATGCGCCGTTACCATAGTATGACCACTCCGAAATGTGTCCATTCTCAAATGAGTGAACTCACTCATTCGCAATCAGTGCTCATTTGTGCGACAGAGAAAGTAGTATACACAATTTCTGTAAGATAATAAGAGTTGACACTAGTGCATCAGTGTACGCGCGTCAGCGTCTTGCAAACGAACATATCCAAAAATAATGCCACAGTTTTCAAGGCGAAGGCGCATTTGACTATTTAAATCTTTGGTTGAAACAAAGGAATGTCAATGCTAATAACATTAAAATAACGGCCAAAATCCCTTGACACGCCGTGCCGTCTGTTAGCGCAGGCCCTAAAATGAAATTCCTCACAACCTATTTGGTCACAGCAGCGCAATCACTGCTATTTAGCGGCCGCAATACAGACGGACTACTAGGCAAATAATTAGTCCAACCACTTAATCAATATTTAAAACGTGATCAAAGCTTTATATAATAATTTCTTAATTAAACGGCATTATAGAAAAAAATGCTGTTAAAAGGCAAGTGAATCCTATAGATACAACACCAAAAATACGAGTTTTCTATGGATGTATAAACTTTAGGCACGTCGGGCACATTTGAGATGGGGGAAAACATAGAATAATATAATACACAATAGAATGGCTGTCAACCTTATTTTGTACGAGGATCGGCGTCGTCGGGAGCCCATATACAAGCAATTACGTCGTATTATCAGTTAATCACTACTACAAACCCGATTCGCTGTTTGACAGATTTTAATACTTATTTATTATATAAATAGTGTGCAATTTGGCATTTTCTAAATAATTTGCATGCGAAATTTGGAAACAATTGTAACGTCAAAACACATCTCGTGTTGACATTTATATAATTGACGTGTTAGTGGCATATATATATCACGTAGCTATTATTTCTAGTTATGCTTCTGTTTTCAATGTATATACATAACATGTTACATAATATCAATAAATACCTCAATCCATATTTTTCCCTGGGGCCCTTCGCGCAATGTCGCGTTAGGTGCTAATCCGGAATATTTAACAATTTTACATAATGAAGTGTTCAAAAATTATGTTTTAAAAATAATATATTTATAACTATTCGCACCTTGATAAGAAAAGTGTCAATATATCAAAAATGACAATATTCAGTTACGACGACATCTTGGATTCCTTGAAAGTAAGTGCTTTTAATGCAAAAACTGACATTATCATAGTTTCAATACTATTCCCTAAAAGCCGCTAGTGTGTCAGTTAATACTTTTGAATCCTTTATTGCAATACAAATTCAACAAAGGGCGGACTTAATGCCCTATAGTATTCTCTACCAGTGCCTAAGAAATATGTAAAAAATAACCACTTCATGATCAGCTCCGCCTATTGCCCCCTATTTTCATTTCTACTACTTCCTCCTTCTTCCCGTCTTCTCTCCATGTCTTTTAACCCCCAAAATTGCGAGTATACGATCGACATAGTTTGTATTTACATTAGAGCTGGAGGCATTCTACAGAATCGTATATTAAGCATCATGATTATTGCTGACATTCTTTGATAAGGCCAAATTTCATTTAAATCAGTAATGCATCTATGAAATCATTTGAAACATGATTAATTCTAAATGATAATATTTATATTATGTCACATATGTTAGATCATTTTAGATATTAGTTTTGAGAATTTCATTATTATATCCTTTTTAGCCTTATTTCTATAATCAATGAATCCGTATGTGTCTAAATGTAATCAATTATTTTGTTTTTTTTTTAAACTTGGATCAGCTATTAAAATCTTTACATGTTTAATAGTTTTTTTTTTATTTATTTGAAGTTTGTCAGTTCTATTTCATTGTGATGGCTTTAATCAGAATATTTAAAAAAAAACACCCGCAACTATTTTAGTGGTGGATTATAAGAACTAATGACACATTCGAAATATTATGAATAGTATGCTCTTTTTCTACAGACTTATATGATCAAGATCTGACCAGTAGTTTTGAGTTATCCTTAATAATGCGTATTTAATTGATGTCGACTACATTGATGATGTTCTCATTTTATTTATTTTGGATTTTTTTAATTTTAACTTTTGTTTACTTAATACTCCTATATATGATCATAATATAATTTGTTAAATGAGTTCAATAACAAAAATTGGCTTATTTTCCCACCATGATTACAAATATTGTCCAAATTGATTTATTTTTAGTGTTTGGTGAAAACGACGCACAATGCTCTTCTTTTAACTCTTTACTTAATGTAGATATCAGTTCCCACCACAGTAATATTGTGTTAGTTTAAAAAATTCCACGAGCTATATTCTAACTTTTGCTCTAGTAATAGGGTTTCAATTGGAATATCTGTAATTTAAAAACAGGTAACATATTTGTGTTATAAATTTCATCAATAGTTAAATACTAATTATTTGAAGATGCATCTTTATCATTTTCAATTGCTTGCTGCTTTATGTGCATTTATTTACATTTACAGAACTGTTAAAGAGAAAAACATGTCCAAAAAGGTATTCCATAACATGTCCACTTGATCTTTCCGAAGTATTATTGTCTATTTTAACCCCCTTTTATCTAAAACCTTGCAAATTAATGTCAAAAAGCAAACACAACTTTATCAAGAGTGGATTTGCCAGTCTGGCCCAATCATACTGTTAAAAAATTTACTTCTGTTTAATCCCTATTAGTTTTTCCACCGTATTCACTTGCAACTATTAATATTTTTGCTTCTCACTTCAAACTCGTTATCTACGTTTTCTGAGTTAGAGTCACCAGGTTCGTCTTTATCGTTTTGTTTTCCCTTCGCTTTTCTAAGACAATAATTGCATTCATCCAAATCAAAAATGGAGGAGCATTTCAGGCAATACTTAACATCTGTTGTGCTCGGTACGATTATAGAGTTTTTGGAATCAATATTGCAGTCATCACATAGTTGTGTACCATCGTTCTCGATGTTTCTTTCCTTTTTCTCAGGTTTTATAGTTTCGGCTGTTTTTTTATTATCTTTCGTTGAATATTTGGCTAGCTTTTTTGACCCTCTTCGAACATTTTTGCATTTTTTATAATATGAATTTAGTTTTATTTGATCTTTATCTATATTTTCGTTTTCTTTGCTTATAATCGTGAAGTTATCTGTCTCTTTCTCGTGTGATATATCTTCAAATAGCACCGAGTTTTCTCCATCAACAGATTCATCATCACTTGATTTAAATAAATCGTCCTTGTGAACATCAGTATCATTAGAAATTATTTTAAATACTGTTATATATTCCTCAGTCATATCTTCATTAGATTTTTCGCTGGTGGTATCTGTTGTAAATTTCACTGAATTGTCTAATTTTTCTTCTTCGTCACATTTTTTTTCTAATTCATCAACATACGGAAGTTGTATATCTTTATTACGATTAGGTTTTATATCATCTTGACTTAATTTTGTCACCGTTTCTATGCTTTCGGATAAAGATGAGACGTTTTTATTTGATGATAAATTTGCCATAGTGTTTAACTTTATATTTTTTATATTAATAGTTTTTCTTTTAGAAAAATCATTTTTAGTATTTCTTAAATGTTTAATAGTATTTACAATTTTATTTAGGCTCGTAAACTTGTCTGGAAGAATATCTACGTAAATGGTTTCGTCTCCCTGTGTAATTGATTCCTGTTTCTTTCCTTCTACTGGAATTTCCATGTTTTCTAATAATTTTAGACTGTTATGATCACTAAGTGACATTTCTGGAAATAAACTATCATCTGTACTTTCTGAAACAGTTTCTTGTCTATGCTTAGGATGCGAATTGTTGGCATCGTCTAAGGTTTTAGTACTATCGATATTACTATTGTCTGTAGATATGAAAAGAGCTTGATCTTTAATATTATCACCGTCCTGGTCAGTTTTAGGTTTGCATAGTTTATCTTTAATATTGCTCAGTAAATTTTCTAATTTACTACGTTTATTCTTAAACTTATCGTCTGATTTGCTATTGGTATTTAATGTGGTAGAATCCATTATTGTACCAACGTCCATTGAGTGTTCCCCACTTTCATTTTCTTTTGACGCATTTGATTCCAAAATGACCTTATGCGGTTTCTTTTTTCTAGAAGGTTTACTTTTGAATTGCTTAATCAAAGTTGGTACAACCGAACTTTTAGGTGATTTCATTATTATAGGATCTGTAAACAAATTAAATAATAAAAATGTACACACTGTCTATCATAATTTCATCATCATTACAGCCCTTCACAAGTCCAATGCTGAACATAGGCCTCCCTCAAGGAGTGCCACAAAGCATGTTCCTGAGCCACTTGCATTAATCGGCTATAATAATAATTTATGTATCACAAAACATACTTGTAGTGTTAAACAATATATCTAACACATGCTTAGGTGGCATTTTACAAAGCATTATAATGCTTTTATGGTACATTTAGAATTGCAGTATAAAATTAAAGTACTCCTTTTTTAATTTCTTCAAATCGATTAAATAATGATGAATTATTTTCGAAAATTGAGTTCTCAAAATCTTAACGTTTTGGGGTCCTAGAAAGCCATTCTGACTATTCCTACGAGGATGTCCCTTTGTGTGTGTGCACACAACACACACGAGCGCGCGCGCGCGATCACGCACGCGCAAACACTCGGTTCATGAGAAATCTCGAAAATTAAATATTCAAAAAAAATGTTTTATTGAGATAAATTTTAAACTACTGTATCAATCGATTCCTAAATCTAATCAGCTTTTAACCTTAAAAAAACACATCAATTACCGCAAAACGCATCAATATCGGTTCATTCATTCAAGAGAAATTGTCGAAAAATTTCGGCAATAATTTCTCTTAATTTTATTGTTTTATTTCTTCAAGCTCAAAAACGTCATAATAGACTTTGGGGATTTTTGCATTTGAAATTAGCGGCAAGTTGCAGGAGTGAACCCTCTAGGGTTAACCGTATTTTTTTTATAATACTGAAGTGACATCTGAACTAACCACCAGATGGTATGTGTATACTGTCAAGTAGTCCACTTACACCTCTAAACAACTTCAAACGAGCACACAGTCCACCTGATGGTAAGTGGATGCTGCGGCCCATAGACATCTACATTTATCCTCGATTAAGAATCAAAAGGCAGTTGTGTCACCACTGAGGACTGAGGACTAAGATAGAATGCCCCATTTCCAGTAAAAAGGGTCTCCGGTTATTATTTCATTCGTACATTAAAGCTGGTACTCTGTGAGAGCGTGGTCCTTCCTCGGTCGAGCCGACCCACTCGTGCTACAACCATAATATAGCTGCAGCGTGGCTCCAACACATGTAAAAATGCACTGCAGATGTAATGTCACCTCTGAGGACTAAGATGGAATGCCACACATAACTTGTGATTATACTGGCTCTCTATACCCGTCAGATAGGAACACAGTAGTGCAAGCACATCAATCTAGTGATGGAAACCTAGGCAGTAAAAGAAATCCTACCACCTAGTATTCCAGGTTTCTAATACACCGAAAAACACATTTTTGAAGGATATAATATAAGGGAAGAAAGTTTCTCGAGTGGCAGCCTCATACCGGCAGGCGTAAGTGTAGGGCATTCCACCACTAGATAGAATGACATGCAGGAAGTCAATGGATGCAGTTGGCTCAGGACCGTGCTTTGTGGCGTTCCTTGGGGGATGGCTATGGTTAGCAGTGGACTAGGGCTGTAATGATGATGACGATGATACACAGTGTTAAATTTTTTATGTGAAACATATAATTGCTTACATCGTAGTTTAATTGATCAAAAATATCATATGTGCGCAGCCATTATACTTGGGCACAAATTAATTATTTTTGAACTTATATTACATATATTTTACCATGTACAGCATAAAAAATTTGATTATTATATTGTTTTTACAAAAATATTTATGGAAGAAAACTGAATATTATTTTAATTCTACAATTATACAACACGTAACATAATTAACGCATTTTGAGAAAGTAGTTTGTTCAGAATCGTTTACTGAATCGATTCCTATCATTTTTAATATAGGTAATATATTATCCCAAAAATAATGAAAACTACCTAAATTACAGTCACACTAAATCTGTATTGTGTAAGACTTTTAAAAGTGCAGTTTTATTTGTATTATTACTAATTCTGTCATTCAATAAAATAAAGAAAAATGAACTTGATTTGTACAATGACCACAACATTCTTCCGGAATTAGTATAACTAATTTGATAAATAATCAGTGCATAAAAATGTTTAACTAAAAATTCAGTGTATGTATTATAATTATAACAAAATATACTATTTGGGGTGTCTGAGGGTGTGCGTTAATTACGTTACACATTGTATATTTATTATTGGCAAGTTAAAATCAAAGGTGTTATATTTTTTTTTGATTTATGATTTCTTATAACACTAAACATGAAATGAAACTAATTTTTAGGTTGAACTTTCCATAAAAAAAACTGATATTTTATTATGTTTTAATATAAAGGTGGAACATTTCTTACCATCCAAATAGTTATCATCAGGCGGATCCTCCCACCAAACTGGACTTGGACATGTCAGTATTTCGAGCAAGTCTTCATCATCAAGGTTCTGAGTTTCGTCTGCCATTCTTATCACCTCCTCAAAGCCCAGCTCAGAATATATCGGACTTTGAGATCCGTTGTCTGTTACTATAGAAATGGAATTGAATGGTGATGTCGAAAGTTTGTGGTTCGTTCTGTTTTTTTTGGTGGGGGGTGATTTTATTTCTAAAATAGTTGAAAGAAAAATATGTAATTACACAATCAAGATATCAAAGAGCAAATTGGGAATAAATAGGCTAAAGTTGCAGCCTCTACATGTCCCAGTCCTGGGCACAGGCCTTGATTTTTTTTATAGAATAAGGGTAACAAGTCCACCTGATGGTAAGTGGATGCCGTGGCCCATAGACATCTACATTTATCCTCGATTAAGAATCAAAACGCAGATGCGTTGTCACCCCTGAGGCCTGAGATTGAATGCCTCGTTTCCAGTATAAAAGGGTCTCTGGATCTCTACACTCACCATACGAAACACAACAGTATTAAGCTGCTATTTTACTCTGGCATTCTGTGAGTGTTGTACCTCACCGGTCAAGCAGATCCATTCATGCTACAACCATAATAGCTGCAGCGTGGCTCTACCACGCGTAAAAACATGGTGCTCTTTAAAATGGGGAAGACGCATCATTTTATTTTATCACACGGATCTTATGATACGTGGACGATATGAATGACAAGCTAGTGGAAACTGTCCATTCATTAGAAGAACACAAAAACTCTCCGATCACACTCTTAATCTCATGGCTGTTAGACGCGAGATGAGGCTGCAAGAGAGAGAGCTGCTGAACAGACAGATCTTCAAATGCATGCGGCGAGACTTACGCAACTTTAATACTGCTCGTATTAAAGAAGTGATCGAGCGGAACCAGGGCTCCAAAGTCTTTGCCAGATATCTGTCTGCCAGAAAAAGCCAATTATCAAAGCTGAAGACTGAGTGTGGCAGCATCGTTCCGGGACACCTGAGATTTTGAGTGATATTGAGAGGTTCTACGGGCAGCTGTACAGATCATCGTTGGAGCCACATGCAAGTGTGAGTAACGATCCAAGAGCAAGTCTTATCCGACACTATTCCGATGATATCTCGGACGTCAGTCTGAGTGAGATTAGAATGGCTCTCCAGCACCTTAAAAACGCAGGGCCCCAGGCGAGTATGGAATTGGAGCGGAGCTTCTGAAAGCGGGTGGAACACCGGTACTTGAAGTCCTTCAGAAGCTCTTCAATTCCGTCCTCCCTGGTGGCACTACTCCGGAGGCGTGGAGCAGAAGTGCGGTGGTCTTGTTCTTCAAGAAAGGCGACAACGCTCTCTTGAAGAACTACAGACCGATTTCCATTCTGAGCCGCGTCTACGTGCTGTTTTCGAGTCATTACGAATCGTCTCTCACGCAGACTCGATGACTTCCAGCCTCCCGAACACGCCGGTTTCCAAAAAGGCTTTAGTACCATAGACCAAATACATACCCTGCGGCAGATTGTTCAGAAGACCGAAAAGTACAATCTGCCACTTTGCCTGGCGTATGTGGACTATGATAAAGCCTTTGATTCCGTCGAAATTTGGGCGGTGCTACAGTCCCTTCAGCGGTGTCAAGTTGACTGTCGGTATATCGAAGTGCTGAAGTGTTTGTACAATAGGGCTACGATAGCTATCCGAGTACAGAATCAGAGTTCGAAACCTATCCAACTGCAGAGAGGTGTAAGACAGGGTGACGTTATATCCCCGAAATGCTTCACCGCTGCATTGGAAGACGTTTTTAAGCTACTGGACTGGAAAGGATACGGTATTAACATCAATGGCGAGTACATCACTCACCTTCGAATTGCCGACGATATAGTCCTTATGGCAGAATCGCTGGAGGACCTAAGTACTATGCTCAATGACCTCAATGGTGTCTTCCAACAGATAGGTCTTAAATGAACATAGTCAAAACAAAGATCATGTTTAATGTCCATGTCACACCTATGTCGATAGTTGTTGGGAGCACTATGCTCGAAGTTGTTGACGAGTACCTGGGAGAGTTACCTGGGACAAATAGTCCGACTAGGTAAGTCCAACTTCGACCGAGAGGTCAATCGACGGATTCAACTCGGTTGAGCAGCGTTTGGGAAATTACGACTCAAATTATATTTTTGTCAGGTATACCTCAAACTCTGAAAACTAAATTGTACAACCAGTGCGTGTTACCAGTGATGACTTACGGATCTGAGACGTGGTCCTTCGCTGCTGGCCGTATGAGGATGCTCACGGTCGCTCGGTGAGCTATGGAGAGGGCTATGCTCAGAGTTTCTCTGCGTGATGGACTCAGAAACGAGGATATCCGCAGTAAAACCAGAGTGACCGACATAGCCCAACGGATTAGTAAGCTGAAGTGGCAATGGGCCGGCCATATAGCTGGAAGAACCGATAACGGATGGGGAAGAAAGGTTCTCAAGTGGCAGCCTCGTACCAGTAGGCGTAGTGTTGGGCGACCCCCACTAGATGGAGTAACAACCTGGTAAGACATGCAGGAAGTCCTCACTCTCTGACCTTCAGACGGCTTTAGCAATGCACGCACTTCTGCTGTGCAGTAACAGATAAGTGAATAATGCCTTCGCAGACGGATTTCTGGGCAGTAAAGAAGTACTAAGTTTTGCATACTTGTAGAAAGCATATACTTGAATTGAGCAGGACTTACCCTTTTGTGTCATGTCCAGTTTCCTCTTATTAACTCCATTAGTGCTACCGATAACCTTGAGTTCATGTCTCGGTTTCAATACAATCTTCTTTGCAACTATATTTCTTTTGACCTTATTGGGACAGAACTCTACTTTGCTTGACTTCTTTGTTTGTAGCGGTTTCTCTTTTTTGGAGGGTTTTACTGATGGTCTACTTAATTTAGGTGAGGTTTTTACAGACTTCTCTTTATTGTCTTTAGTTTTCGTTAATAAATGTGGGCTTTTAAGAAGTTGAGTTATATGAGTCATTCTTCTGTCCTTCTCCCTTAGTTGTCGTTTCTGCTGTGATAGTTTAAACCGTGTTAGCATCACACTGCGGCCTAGATTTGATGGCATTTCTTTCTTAGTCTGTATTGATTGCTTAGCAGCCATGATTATAGTTCTGTAACTTATAAAATTAATAATTAATATCTATTTATGTAATTAATTCCCCTATATATATATATATATATATATATATTTTTTTTATTTTATATATATATATATATATATATATAAAACTTTGGTGAGTGCGTGTACATCCGCAGGGAGGAGACATAGGTGTCACCTCGTATGATGTTCTCATCATCATGATCATGAACTCGGCGGAGCAACACCGATGTTGAAAATATACCTTCATCCTACAATAAAAATCGCGGTAAGTGCCACTGTCCCCGTATGCACACGTAATATTTATTATAGAAAAACAACAAGTACAAGAGGTAAGTAACAATTTCTTATGTGTATATATTTTACATATATTATGTTTCATTAATTAATATTATTTATGTTTCAGATGTCCTAGAAGCAATGTGAGCATCGTCAACATATTAAAGTAAAAAGTAAAGTTACAGCCTATATACGTCTCACTGCTGGGCTCAGGTCCCCCCACTTTTTGAGGGGTTTGGGCAAGTGCGCCGCGTCCCCAAATGCGTGTTGACGAACTTCACATGTCTTCGAAATATTTTTTTTTTCTTATTCCTCAGACATGCAGGTTTCCTCACGATGTTTTCCTTCACCGCCGAGCGCGTGGTAAATCAGCTCTTAAAATTGCAATTAACAATTTCATTGGTGCCGGCGGGTATCGAACCCGGATTACTCGCATTCTGTTATATTTACAGCGAGTGTTAACCACTGAGCTACCACGGCTCTCAACATATAAAAATGAAATCAACAGTCAACATATAAAAATGAAATTTTGTTATAATCACACAGAATAATATATTTCTCTTTAACTACATAACATATATCAACATTGTACAGGTGAGTAAATATCGGTTGATGTCAACTGCTCATGAACCAGTATTTATGTAAAAAAATAAGCAGAACTGAAACTGGTTCACGAGCAAAACTCATAAATGTACATTCTAGAGCTACACTACAGCTATATTATGGTTATAGCATGAACTGGTCGGCAAAGGTAGGACCACGCTCTCACAGAAAATTTCTTTACTACATACATTTTTATATGTGGCTGAGCCACGCTGCAACTATATTATGGTTGCATCACGAATGGGTTGGCTCAACCGGGAAAGAATCACACTCTCACAAAATAACATAGTAAAATAGCAGCTTAATTCTGCTGTATTTCATATGGTGAGTGTAGAGACTTGGAGACCCTTTTTACTGGAAACGAGGCATTCCAGCTTAATCGTCAAGGGTGACAATGCGTCTGCATTTTAATTTTTACTCGAGGATGTTAATCTCTATGGACCATAGCATCCATTTACCATCAGGTGGACTGTGTGCTTGTTTGTCAACCTTATTCTACAAAATACATATCATTCTTCTATTATTTTATATTTTCCACAAGTAGGTTAAATAATAGTATGCTCATGCAGCTCGGGCCATGAAATATTACTAGAAAACGTGATGTTTTTGTTTTTCAATACCATACTAAATTTCTACATCGATAAAGAAGTTTTATATTTTTCCACTATGTTCATAAAGAAGTTTCACTTCAATAAAAAACTGCAGTTGCCGAGCCTGGCACAAATTTGCCTTCTATGAGACATCTATTGAGGATTTAATATGTTCAGCATTTTACCTACACCAACTATCTAACCTACAAGCCATGTAGTGGCAGTATAAGAATATCCATTACCCCATAATGAACTGTGGTTGTTGTTAGTGGCGACAGAGGGAAATTGAAATGAGATGCGCAGTAGCACCTTCCTTGTAACAACTTTAAAATAAAAAAACTGCAGTTGCCAACCTGCCTGCGAAGCGTAGCAACTGATCGGTGGTTCGTTAATAATAATGAGGCAAAAGTGTAGCAACAAATTGTTTTCATATATTAATGAGGAGAGTGACAAAGCAAATTTATGTTACAGAGAAGAAGGAATAAACAGGGGCCAAAGTAAGAGTACCCTTAATGGACAAGCATGTATGCATAGGTATATGGATGTGGAGGAGGTCCACCCCTCTGGGTGACAGGCGTGAGTGTTTATGACCTAAGAAATTACCCTATGAGATAATATATAATATATGGGGGAGGCCTATTCTCAGCAGTCTACTTTTATAGGTTGTCATAGATGAATAGATGAACTATCAAACATGTTTAGCAGTAGCCTGAATAGAGCAAAATATAATGAAAAAATAATTCGTTTCTACATAAGTACATAGTGACTGTGTAGACAAAATATTGACAATTTTTAACAAGAATAAACAAGTGTTAATTGCTCAGTACAAATACAAAAGAAAATCAAAGTAATTCTTCATTCACATTTATTAAGTTGAAGTATTTAAAACACTAAATTAAAAATGATAAAATTCTTTAGGTCAGTTGGAAACCTGATTTAAGGATTAATTAATCACTTCACTTAATGTTACATTCTTTTTTTTTTAATGAACATGATTTGATGACAAAGGACTTTCACAATTTTTTCAGTAAAGATAATTTATTTCTATACATATTTACTTAACAATAAATAGATCATGCGTTTGTTATTTTATATACATGTTAGAGCTAGCCAGTGGTATAAATTAAATCTTCGTAAATAATAACGCCTGAGATCGATTGTACATTAGAGGTATATTTAGAGTAAGATTTCGTGATTGTGATAGAAATATCTTTGTAACTTCTACGCAATAAATTATTAGAAAGAACAACTGTTCAGTATTATACTCAAGCAGCGCTTGGTTAACAGTTGCTTTCTGTACTAAAGTACATACAAAATAACTAATTAAAAAAATGCAATGACCTTAAACATATACATGTAGCATTATAATTCCTTACCAGCACACTCTGTTGAGATCACAGGCACGAATAGTCAAAAATCAAATGAGGAAATGTTCACAAATATTACTATTAACTTCATGATTGTAAAGAAAATATAATAATAAATTAAAAATAAACAATTTTACAAGTAGGTAGCACTGATACGCTATAAATGCGCTATACGTTCGAATAGAGTTACAACTTTGTCACAGTAACGATTTCCAGTTTCCATTCTCTTGAGTCTTGAACTTGTGACCAAACCATTTTTACATAAGAAAATTTATTGCCAGTCACTCATTTGCCTTGATTACCTTTATCATAAAAATTTAATTCATAGAAAATGAATTATAGTAAGTTAAGTTTAGTAGGAACATACATACTTTACATACTATCAAATTTTAAATTTTTAAAATGGTATGATCGATATTCACATCACAAACATCGATGTTGAATGTAAAGATATCGATTCCTAAATCATATGAAATATCGATCCATCGATTAAGTGAAGAAGAATATCGGAAATCAATTTATTCGTAATTTTTGTTCGAAACTTTACATTAACTAAGATTTCAACATAGCTATAAAATTTATTTTTCAAAAATTTTAAATCCTCTAACTCTTTAATTTTTACATCCTTAAAGCTACATGCATAGCTAAAGATACATGCCAGTTGGTTAACGGTACTCTTTATTTTGCCTATGTTTATAAAATCGCCAAAAATAAAATTCTTTCAAAATATAAATAGATTCTTTATTCTAATTCAGATGTGTGTATATCATTATATTCTATATATAACGCATTGCTTAGTTCAGGCACAGATGCAAAAATATATATTGTGATAAAGAAATGCTGAATAAAGAAATTATTATTATTGTGGGGTATCAATATAGTTTTCTCATCTGGTTGAGTTCTATAAATATGTAATTATAAATTGAAATGAAAAGATAAATATACATAAATATCAAAAAAATTAAATAAATATAAAAATACATATATAAATAAAAGCCCAACCAGATGGAGGCCCTCGGCAGGGAAGACCAAACGGCCGAGGGTTAGGGGGAAAGGGAAAGAAACCGGCGGACGATGCGGGCGGTATCGAGGAGCACCGCCTTCTGCATTTGAGCCAGGAGCGGTCCGCCACGTAGTCCCAGCCGCCTCAGGTGACCCGAGAGGCTGACTGGGATTAGCCCGTTTGTAGAGACGACTACAGGAATAATTTCGGTATGCAGACCACGTTCTCGTCATACGGAATTGATTGTTCGAGCACGGCTTTCGGCAAGTATTTGTCATACGGCAATTTCGATCCACGAGACCGTATTTCAGAGCAAGCTCCTGGTGAAGAATTCTGGCTACTAGATTGTTTCTGTGCAAGTACTCAGAGTTAGAAAGCGCCGAACAACCGGAGATCACATGCCTAAGTGACTCACCGGGATGGCGACAAGCTCGACAGATGTCGACGGTGCCATCCTTTAGGATGTATATCTGATAGTTGTTGGTCTTAATAACCCGATCTTGTATTGCACAGACAAAACTTTCGGTTTCCCCGAAGAGGTCACCAAAGCGTAGCCAGTGGAGGGAGGCTACTGCGTCTACGAAAGGCTCATGTAGAGCCTTGTAGAACCTCCCGTGGAGCTCCTTCTCCTTCCATACGGTCTCCCGGTCAGAAATGCTCTGCACTGCCGGTTCTTGCCATTGCTCGTTGGCTAATGATAGAGGGGTAAGTAGTTAGTATCCTTTATCACAAGAAATGACGTCCTTATAGAATGGATCATCCGATCTCGCCAGGAAGTAATCACGGAGGCTGCACACTCCGCGATTATGCATGGTGAGCGCGTTCAGGAAGCCTCGCCCACCATGCTTTCGCGGCAAGTACAGCCTCATTACCGACGATCTCGGATGATGCATCCTATGGGACGTCATGGTAGTGCGGACTTTTCTATCCAGGGCGTTAGGTTCTCTGAGTCCACCTGAGTATGCCAAAAGTATACATGAGGACAGGCATGACCCAGCCGTTATATGCGGGTGCCTTATTCACACCGGACAAAAGGCTGTTAAGCACTTTGGTCAAGCGTGCATAAAACATGTCACAAACTGACTGTTTCATACCAGCCTCATCGATACCGATGTTCTGTGACATACCCAGGTATCGGTATGTTTCAGCCTCGGAAAGGTTTCTTAAGTTGACGGGCATAGATAAGTCTACGCCCTCAGAGTTAGTGACCCTTCCCCTTTCAACATGGAGGACCGCACACTTATCCGTCCCCAGCTCCATTCCTATGGAATTACTAAATTCACAAGTGATGTTTAGCAATTCCATAATATGGGAGCGACTGGAGGCGAATAACTTGAGGTCATCCATATAGAAGAGGTGGGTCACTTTTGTCCCTCCTTTCCGTAGCTGAAATCCCCTCCCAGAGCCCTCCAGTAAGGTACTGAGAGGGTTCAGAGAGAGGCAGAACCAGATTGGACTCAGACAATCGCCCTGGAAGATACCCCTTCTTATCCTTATGTGGTTCTCCGCAGCTATCATCCGCTCGCCCAGATGACAAAGGATCGTACTCCACTGCCCCATACACTGCTCGAGGAAGTCTCTAACTGTACAGTCTATCTTGTACAGCTCGAGGACTGTCTTTAGACTCACCACTTTGCTAATGACCGCATTAATGAGGAGTGGTCACGAACACAATCACGTGGTCTCCACGATACACGCCTCTGACATGCATTTTGAGCGCGCGACATCACCTGATTTGAGTCCAGGTGACGAGTGATTCTCGCGCTCAAAATGGATGTTAGTGTCTTGTATATTGTCGGTAGACACGTGATGGGGCGGTATTTGCTCGGGTATGTGGTACCCTGGTCTTTAGGAACCAAATGGGTGATCCCAGTAGTGAAGAGGCTCGGGAGCGACTTCTGGTTGAGAGCCTCTTGAAACTGTCGGGCGAGCACAGTGTGACACACCAGTGCCAGTAGTGATGCAGCCCGTCGAGTCCCGGACTTTTCCAGTTCGGGGCCCTACGGACCACCTCAGCTACGTCATCCGGTGTTATAATGACATACATATACATACTCTGACAATGACATACACATACATACATATACGGGGTCCATGGGCGTTATACTCGCACACTGACTCGCCACAACTTCCTTCTAAGGGCCCTCGCTGTGGTTTACGGGCTCTGACCACAGGCCGCGCCAGAATGCTACAGTGTCGGCCTGATTCGGTGCTGGGCCCGTTCCACTTACCATTGGTCGCTCCAATGATTCATAGAGCCTCTTCTGATCACTCTGGAAGAGACGATTCTGGTTGAACCGTGTCGACCTCTCGGTATGTCGCCGAATCCGCTTTGCCCAAGCAGCGATTCTCTGCTTCAGATCATCTATGCGCTCCGTCAGTTTTTGCGTTATATCCGGCTGGGACAAACTGACATTTGCCCCAACAAACGCCATCCTGACGGTGCGCATAATTCTTGGCCTGTTATTGCCTGATCTGAAGCATATCAGTCTGCCGATGAGAGCTCTAGCCTTTGCGATACGTTCCTCAATTATTCTTCTCCATGCTGGGATAGCGCTACTTTGGCCAGTAGCGCGTCCAGCCGTGGAAACCTTGGCGCCTATGATATGGCAGACTGCCAGCGCGGCGCCAAAAAGAATTGAGTCCGTCTCGCAAAGGTCCCATCTGGCTTCCAAATAGGTCACCAGCATTGGGTTCAAAGCCCTCACGACAGCCCGATTCCGCTTGCTTAGGGCTATGCGAGGAAGTAGCGGTCGATTTTCGAGAGGCGTACTGCGCGTTTCCATAATCGCCTCTTCCAATGTACTCCTCATATGCTCTAATTCCAGTTCCTGGCCGACTGTTCCATCATCGTTTGAATCAACCACAACTGAGGTATTCACGGCGGTATCCACGTTTGCGGGTTGCTCTACAATTTGTGGCGCCGCATCCTCAGCCGTAGCATTTTCATCCGATGAGGGAACAGCCTCACGTCGTAGCCGTTCGAGTTCGGCGACATCAAATATATTTGAGCGCAAGATATACCGAACTCGGTCTGCCAGGTTTTGCTCTGTGACGGTTAAAGATGGCTCCAGCTCAGCAAAAAGACGATGCATCCTAGCCCGATACGCCAAACATCCAGTTTCTTCCCCTTTTGCCCTAAAGTATGCCCGCAGTGCGTTTGCGTTTATTGTTTGTGACCAACGCATGCGACGTGCTCCACCAGCGGCGGGTGCTGCTTGCTGAGTCCGAAAAGACCCAGCCGACACCAAGCCTTCTGGTGGAGATGATGGATGCGGAGGGCTGCTAGGTGACCGTGCAGCTCCTCGCGCTCGGCTGGCGGCCCGCATGCTGCCGCGTCCAGCGCCAGCTCCAGATGTGCCCGGCGGCTAAGCCCGGCACCGTTTCGTGGTTCAGTCATATGCACAAACGGACCTTTGCACCCACAATTTTGCCTAGGCACGGCGCTCACACCTCTTGGCAGGGTGCTGAATGACTGCGCCGACGTAGCAGTTTTGTCACATAACTGTTACGTCAGCGGGCGATGGGGTCATCACTCCCCTACGCCTTATTATTATGAACTCGCGTGTCTGTCATGCTCATATACCTAATAGGTCTTTACTTATGAAATTGCCGTTCTGCGGTAAGGACCCTTTCGAACCTGTTATTGGTTTGCCCGCTTTCTTTCTGTAAAATTTCGATCTGAAAAATGTACCCCGTAATCTGAAAAATATTTGCCCACAATGACGAATTAAAGGCTATTGTTGAAGTTAATGATGCTCAAGCTACGGCTGAATTTGCACAGCTTTCGACATTAGCATCAAAACAATATTGGTCCATTTGCGTCAAATTGGTGAGGCTTAACAAATGGGTGCCTCACGAACTCAATGATAGCCAGCGCGAAGTACAAAACAAGTGTGACAGCACAAGTTGTATGCGTCGTGACGTGCTTTGCAATGCTCAACAGGCACACAAACGAAGGGATTTTGAACCACATTGTTACCTGCGACGCAAACTGGATTTTTGTTGATAATCGCAAGCACTCAATAAGTTGGTTGGATCTGGTTTAGCACTGAAACAATTCCCTAAAGGAAAACTTACACCTAGAAAGTGATGATCACTCTTTGGTGGTCTAGCGCCGGTGTGATTCATCACAGCTTCTTACCAAACGGGATGAGCATTACTGTAGATGTGTATTGTGATAAACCGAACACAATGATAGAGAAGCTAGATCGTCTCCAACCAGCTTTGGTCAATCGCTTGTCCCAGCTGCTCTTGCACGACAACGCGCGATCTCATACTGCACAACAGACGGTTTCCATGTTGCAAGAGCTTGCCTTGCGCCTAGAGACTTCTACTTTTTCCAGAATTTGGATTGGCTTTTCCCCGTCTTACTTTTTCCTTGAACTAAAAAACTTTCGACAAAACCTCTTTCTTTTTTTACCCCATGCATGAATTGTGTACTTTTGGCGTCGAAGCATATTATTTATTCTGTGGTCGATGTAGATATGTTACAGCGTTGCCAAGTCTAGACTGTTCAGAATAGCCAAACAATTGGCTCCAAATAGCCTGAATTTGCCTTCGGTATAGTAGCGAAAATGTTTTTAATTTTAATAGGATAAAATTCAAAGTAGTTTCTTGTAAATTTTTAAAAATGTATTTGTCGGATTATTATTATTAATATTTATATTTCACAAATTAACAGTGAAAGTAGCGAAGGCAAACAATGCAAAATGTATCTTATAATTCATGGGGTCACACAGCACTACCATTAAAAAATATTTTTGAATATCTTTATATCTAGATTTGTTGCAATTTTTAGTGTAGCTTTACTACGTGCTCAGCCGACCTATATCGGCATGCCCATAAAGTATGACATTGACGGGTACTGTCTGTACTACTAAGAAATTCAGGACTTGATTTTACTGACAGCTGTCGCAGAGATCAAGCTATCTTTTATGAACTATAGCACCAATGATATGGCAAAAGTGTTAAAAAGTACTCAGTGACCAAAGAGTATATATATATTTACTACCCTTAGCTATTACAGCTTATGCTATTTACTAATAATATTTTTACAGAATGTCATACATCACCTATTTTTAATTGTTTTTAATAAAACTATTTTTATTTTTGTGTACATATATTAGACAGTTTTTAATTAAACTGAGACGTCATAATCATATATTAGCTTATTTAAATTATACTTAATGAAACTCTTCGGATTTAGGTCATAAATAAAATAGCAAGATAATAAGAAATCATGCTATTGCAGCAAGATGTTTTTCTAATATTGATCATTTTTATTTTAAAAGAATTTTATTATTGCGTAAAGATATTTTAATAATGTTTTTGATCTGATTAGGGGTTGGCAACCCCTACGAGAATACCCTTACTAGAAATCAAGATTTTTGGCCCTTGAATTATTGGTCTTTTTAGCAAGGTCCACATTGGCAGGTATGCACGACGCGACGCATTTTGTAAAGACTTTCATCCTCATTACTTATTTGTGGTATAAGTTGATGGAGCTTCCTAATAGTTGCCTGGGGAAATACCTGCCAACTGCCTTGTACAAACAAGGACGGCCTATATCGGACTTGCAATGATTAAAACCCATGGCTAAAAACCTTCGTCGCTTATTAGTAATGCCACGGAGACGTTTTCACAAAATTCCTTGTACCCTTATCGGGATTTTTAGGTCAAGCAAGGTGCGTCGGAAACCTCTTAAATGTTGCTCAGTCTAACGTAATTGTACCATAGACTTCTTTTTCGTAAGTAAGTTATTTCTACATAACTTCTGACTTAGTCATAGAGCAGCAAGAGTTACCGGTGAATTGGAGGGAAGTAGCCATACGCGTACAATAAAACTAGTTACAGCCGTACTGCTCACTAGACTAAATCAACTTACAATTGGACCTAGTAAAGTAAAAAAAGTAAAAGTCAAGGCGGATCGGTAGTCAGCATATAAAATTGGGATTACAAAAATGGGATCCAACTTGTTCATGTAACGTGTCAAGACTTAGTATTAGATACTTCCCTAATTAATAGTTTTTAAAGTTTGCGAAACGAATGTTTGAAATGTAATACAATAATCATAATCACTAGATTTATAAATCAATTTACTTGATTGTTCGATCAAAAGTAAGTCTAGTCCTATTTTTTCAAATATTTTTGGGCATATAAAGTAATAAAAATTAATAAAAAAAAACGAGTATATCGATGTCGATTTTAGCTAACATTGCGAACGAAGCGCTATAAATAAAAGACATAATGTTTTGTAAAGTAACGTCACACATAATACTACTATAATAGGGATGTCATTTTTCTAATAAATCAGAATATACAGGTGTACTTACTCTCATATTTTGCATAGTATAAGGAGACCAAAGATGACCACTCGACATTTCTATTACCACGATTAAATTATACGCATGGTAGGTTAGAGAACAGGAGAATGATCACTACGTGCTAAAGCATAGCCCGCCTGTCCCGGAAAATTTGTAGAATTTATAGCCGCGCTGTCGTCGGTAAGTAGTTTCTGCGAAGTAATTTTTTAATTATTAACGAAAAGAAACGATAAAAAATGGGGAAATAATAATAATAATAATAATAATATTTATAATAATTAAAATTATAAAAAACATAATTAATAATTTATTTATTAATAAATAATAATAATTTCGTTATTTTATTTTATTTTCTTGAATGAAAATGAAAATATTATAATTATTTCAAACTAGCGCACAATAGCACGCTTTTATTGAGACAACTTAGCGATCACAGCGCCTCACTTATGGTGTCCATATTTCTGGGACACTATTTTCTACGGCGATCGTTCTCCTGTTCTGTAATCTTCAAAGAGGTTATAGAACAGAACACGAACGTTAGTACTCATATTAGTTTGTGGAACAGAAGAACGATTGCTGTAGAAAATAGTGGCTCAGAAATATGGACAAAATAAGTGAGGCGCTGCGATCGCTAAGTTCGGTCAATAAAAGTTATTTTAAGTCTATTTTTCTGATTAGATGTTAAACCACTTGCACATCCACGCACAATAAAATATATCTCCATTTTTAATATTTCTTTTTGTCAAAAATTACAATATTATGAAACATGAAAATTTTCTAACCAATGCCGCGGAGAAAATATGTACATTATTCATATAACTTCATCTACTTGTACTCATAAACAGCAAACTTCGCAGTCACTACTCACTGACGTCAGCGCCGCTATAAATTCTACAATTTTTAAGGACGAGTGGGCTTGCTTTAGTACGTAGTAATCGTTCTCCTGTTCTCTAACCTCCATGCTAACATCCATGGTTGACACTGACACAACAGGAGTTTTGGTGGGAACTAGGCCGTTGACGGATTGTCGCTCCTGTTTTGTCGCTTGAATAATGGTTTGAAGTGGATTTTGATTCATGAAAGTGCTGCGATTTTGTGAATTAAGTGTCTGCGCGTGTTAACTGTTAGAGAAAACGACGAAACAAGTGCTGTGATGTTGGTATAAACTTCAAGTTAATTTGATCGCTTGGACGCCTTATGAACTTGAGTGGCTGTTGTCACCAACTTTACGTGGGGTTGAGCTGTCGTCAAAATCTCCCAAAAACTTCGCAATGTGACGCATTAGTATATTGTGAAGAAAAAATATATAAAAATGAAAATCATCATCACCATCATCATTACAGCCCTTCACAAGTCCACTGCTGAACATAGGCCTCCCCCAAGGTATGCCACAAAGAACGGTCCTGAGCCACCTGCATCCATCGACTTCCTGCATATCTTACCAGGTCGTCACTCCATCTAGTGGGGGATCGCCCTACACTATGCCTACCGATACGAGGCTGCCACTCGAGAACCTTTTTTCCCCAAAGGTTGTCGGTTCTTTGAGCTATATGACAACAAACAAATGATAGGCAACAAATAAATGATAGGCTCAGAAGGGCTAGAACCCAGAGCCGTAAAGCCAGTTAATAAAAAAAAACTGACATTGTCAACGAAGAGATTTTAAAAAAATTTCGCGGTAAAAAATAAAAATATTGTTACGTTTTTGACCAAAGTATAGGTATTATACGAAAAATGTCAATTCAAATAGAAAACAATTTAAAAAATGG